GTAGATAATTGTGAATTTTAGTTCATCCAATTTTTTTCGAAAAAGGTCTGGCGTTTATAGCTCCGCCACGTTTTCTTGATTTTACCACAAAAATTCATAGAGAACATCAATTTGCATTTCCAACGCCTAATTTAAAAACGTTTTTATTTATTAATTCTTAATGTTTTAAACTCTGATTTTGAGAGTCGAGTAATCGAGAATAAGCAAAAGAATTGAGAACTGTTATTGCAGCCTGACACTCAGAATACTTTGTAGTGAAGTGGGTAGCCTATATCAAGGACGAGCAATCGTCAGCGATATTTAAAACTGTATTTTAAGTTTATAGTATGAATGCTATAGTGCCAATTAAAACTTGCAAGTAATTAAATTTTTGGATTTTAATAAACTAATTTGGTACATAAGAAGTCTATGAAAATAATTATGATTTTACGACACTTAGTTTTTTCACATTCTGTTGTATGTTTCTCGTATGTGGGCATTTTTACATTATACATTACAATTTTTTTACGATTTCTAATAAGTAGAGAAAGTTGCTTATAGTTAAAAATGCGGAAAAAAAAACTGTTAGCTTTATTTGTGAAAATTGTGATGAGAGTATAAAACTATAATAAAGTAATAATAATGGTCAAGAAGATAGATGCTTCTTAATCAAAAACAGAGATTCATTAGGAAGCAAAGTAATGTATCCCTTTTTTCTCTCTTTCTTTATGCTTTTACTGTCTCTCTCGCTCTTGTAATCAGTTATTTTTGGAATTGCGATCAGGCGATGAAGCAAAAACGCACATAAATTCAATTCTGTAAAACGGGGATGAAACTAGTTACGCGATTGGTTAAATTACGCAACTTTTGTCAACAGTATAAATTAAGTTGATAAAGTTGTTCAAGGTATGTCTTGAAGTAGATGCCACGTCGCCATTTTATTATTTTTTTTTTGATTACGTGTTTTTGTTTTATTTTAACTTTATCGCAGCTGTAATTACTGTCATATCCTGCTATATTATTTGGCAAATTATTTTCGACCGTTACGGCCATCTTGTGTATTTACACGTATGATAACGTATCAGTTTTATTAAGATGGAGCGATAACACGAGTAAGGTCCAAGCTGTGATTTTTATTTTGATTTTTGGCGTTCTCCTTTCACGACGGAGACATGTTAATTAGGAGGGACGAATGTAAGTAATGTTGACTTTTAATAATATATTGGGGCAGTCGGTACCTTCTTTTCTAATTTAAATAAAAAATTGGAAAGTTGGTTTGAAGATTTTTTAATACTTGACGTATGGTAATTTAGTAGACATTACGAAAAGTATAATTTTTAAAATTTCATGAGATTGTGTTGATGTATAATGATTTTAAAAGGTTCGCCCAAGTTAATTCTAATTTTTGACAAAAGAAATTACTAAAAGATTAAGTTTTATGACCAGTATATTTTTGGATCTTTTATTTCTTATTTTCAAAAATTTGTATCAATTCGATTAAATTTTTGATTATTAATAAAGATTTTTGTACGAAAAAAAAATATATCGGAAACTAATAATGATTGTTTTTTATAATCAAAATTAAAATTCAGTAGTATCGGACAACATGGTAGACGTTTAATTTTTAATTTTCGGAAGGTCTGTCGCTGAAATATAAATGTCCCGTATAATTAATTCCATCCATAATTTTTCAGATAAAAAACGTGAAAGATGCTATCATCGGTTAATTGATTACTTTTGAATGTTTTTTTTAGTTTTTATTTGTTTTTTTAACATAAGGAGGAACTATATTAACTTTTTTTTAAAAATTTTATAATCAAATTATTTAAAACATCTTTACTATAAGTATATATAATGTTCCTGTTATATTGACAATAATTTTTTAATTGTTTCAAAAAGTTTTTCTATAGGAGTTGAAAAGAATGAGATATTGTTGTCAACATAAC